AAATGAAAAAAAAAAAAAAACCTATGCATGGGTTTCAAACTTTTAATTGTGTTTTCCAGAGATTGCTTTGAGTCCTCTGAGATGGGTATGTCTCTTTCCTCTGCCTGTCAGCCTCCCTGAATCCCCGTATCAGATCGTGACGAGCTCTGATCAGAGACACTGTGAAGTTCTGCAGAGTTTAGGCTCAGGTCCCTCACGCCCAGGGCATTAAGCCCCAGGTGACCATTGGTTGCTTGCGCCTTCACTGCATCCAGCCAAATCGATAACTAATCAGCACCGAGTTGGTCTGGTTTGCTACTCGCTGCCCCTGTGCTATGTCCATAAGCCAAGCTGGCTAATGTCGGTGCTTTTAATTAATATGAGACCGGTTAAAACTCATCACAGCAAGGTTATTGGTAATGAGATCACCATGAGGCAAGTTACTGTGCTGGCAGGGGAACGAGGTTGTGGCGTGGGGCAGGGAGACTGTGTCAGCTGTTGCCATTCTGTTTCGGTTGAGAGTGGAAACGGGGAACCTATCACCACTGATGAGCCCCATACCCCGTGTAGCCAGTGGCTTGGTGAAGGCCAGCCAGGGTCCCTGTGAGCACGTGGCATCTGGCATTGAGAGCCCCTTGGGGAAGAAGGCTTAGAATCAGTGTGCTAAGACTCCTGATGCTGTGGTGTTTTGCCTTTCTCCTGCACTGGGGCTTTGCAATTTCGATGACAGAGCATGACATTAGCTGTTGTTTCTGTCCGTTAGGCTGTGGTCCAGACTGTTGAACTCAATCAAGTAGAGGCAGCGGCTGGGCCTGGAGGGTGGTCGCTGTTGTGAATTTCATTGTCTAGCAAGATGGATTGTTTTATCTGTCTCGTTCATTTATCGAATGCTGACTGTATGCTGGACCCTGCTAGGCTCGCTCTTTTGTTTTTTTAATTGTTTATTTTAAAGGTAAAGAGAGAAAGAGAGACAGAGAGAGAGAAATTGAGATTCATTCCATAAATCCTCAGGCAGGAGCTAGGAATTCAATTCAGGTCTCCCATTTGGGTGATGAGGACCCAAGGGCTTGGGCCATCACCTGCTACCTCCCAGGGGCTCATTAGCATGAGAGCTCAGTGGAGCAGGGACTTAGGTACAGGATGCTGGTGTCCTGCACCTCCTCCCCTGCTCATTTTTATATGTTATTTAATTATCACAACTTTACTTATAATTATTATCCCTCTTTTATTGATGAAGACATTGAGGTTCCAAAATTAACTTGCCCAAGATTTTATGAAAAGTAAACAGCAAAACAGGATTTGAACATAGATCTTTCTAATTCTAAAGCTGATGTTATTAACTTTTACGTTATAGGACTCTTTCTGGGTCTTCCACATGGGTGTAGCAGTTCAAGGCTTTGGACCATCTTCCACTGCTTTCCCAAGTCATAAGCAGGGAAAGTGAATTGGAAGTGGAACAGCTGGGACATGAACTGACTCCCATATTGGATGCCAGTGCTGCAGGCAGAGGGTTAGCTTGCTTTGCCCCTGAATCAGACTGCCTGCTGCACTTCTGATCCATCTCCCTGCTGATGGTCTGGGAAGGAGATGGAGGACGACCCAAGGGTTTGGGTTCCTGCACCCATGTGGAAGAACAGAGGGAGTTCCTGGCTCCTGGCTTCGGACTGGCCAAGCTCTGTCCATCTGGGGAGTGAACTAGTGGATGGCGACAGGGTCTGACTCCAGTGTCCTAAAGCAGGAAGGAAGGGAGGATCCAGAGCCTTGAGACGATGTGTTCATCCCTGCCCGGGAGCCAAGTCTGCCCTGCATGTGGGAGTGCCCAGACTGCCTAGGCCCCTGCCTGCAGCTGTGGCTCTCTCTTTGCTGGGTGGGTGGCTCTCTGGGGTCTCTCCAGAAGTCGAGGGCAAACACTGGATCCTAGTATATCCCCCAGTGACAATGCAGTGGCCGATGTCACAGAGTAGGGGGAGTGTCTTCCCTGCCTCTTCTAGTCCTCTGCTTGCATCGGGTGAACCCTGGGCAGGCTGTGTCCGGGGGCTCTGTGTGCCTCTGTGGCCAAGTAGGTCACTGGGTATAAGGCGCGTCCTCACTGGGGAGTGTCCTGCAGGGTTGGGGCTCTGATCGCCCAGGGCCTTGATTCCTGGAGGGGGACGCTTCCCCTGTCATCGATGGTGTATTTTCTCCTCTGTTGGTTCGGCGTTGGAGCCGTTGATTTGAGTTGCCACATGTGGTTCACCTGGCATCCCTGTGTTCTTGTCATGGACTGGGGAGGTACCTGGCCCCTCCGCTGACCAGCTTTTCATCTCTGCCACTTTCTCAGCACCTGCCCAGCGCTACATGACCTTCTGCTGTCTGCTCTTGGCCCACTTGCTCCCCTGTTTCTGCTGCTTGTGGGAATCTTCCTCTCCCCCAAACCGCTGCACGCATCCGGGGCTTTCTGTCTCTTCATTAGAATTCATTTTCTTCTCATCGTACCCTCCTGCCAGGGGAAAGAGACCCTCAGTGGCCTTGCTTGGATGAGGTAGCCGTGGCAGAGCTGGAGGACTCTGCCCAGAGGGGTGGGGGATTTTGTGTGCAGGGGGTTCCCCAAGAATGCCTGGCGTGTAAGCCAGAAGTGGATGGGTCCCCAGGACTCCAGGGCTCCTGCTAGAGCTGCGATCTGGGGCCTCTGCTGTGCTGGGACAGGGTGAATGTAGAGTGCAGCGCCCTCTTAGTTCCTTTTTTAAAAATTTATCTGTTTTTTATTGTAAAGTCAGCTATACACAGAGGAGGAGAGACAGAGAGGAAGATCTATCATTCGCAATAGCCGGAACTGAGCCGATCCAAAGCCAGGAGCCAGGAACTTTGTCTAGGTCTCCCACATGGGTGCAGGGTCCCAAGGCTTTTGGGCCGTCCTCTATTGCCTTCCCGGGCCACAAGCAGGGAGCTGGATGGGAAGTGGAACCTCCGGGATTAGAACCAGTGCCCATATGGGATCCTGGTGTGTTCAAGGTGAGGACTTTAGCTGCTAGGCTACCGTGCTGGGCCCTCTTAATTTCTTTCTTTCTTTTTTTTTTTTAAGATTCATTTATTTATTGGAAAGTCAGAGATACAGAGAGGAGGAGAGACAGAGAGGAAGATCTTCTGTCTGATGATTCACTCCCCAAATGACCACAACGGCTGATGCTATGCCGATCCAAAGCCAGGAGCCAGGAACTTTGTCTAGGTCTCCCACATGGGTGCAGGGTCTCAAAGCTTTGGGCCGTCCTCGACTGCTTTCCCAGGCCACAAGCAGGGAGCTGGATGGAAAGTGGAGCTGCCGGGATTAGAACTGGTGCCCATATGGGATCCTGGCGCGTTCAAGGTGAGGACTTTAGCCGCTAGGCCACGTCGCAGGCCCCCTCTTAATTTCTTAAGTGACAATTTCCTGTGTGGTTCGCTTGGTAGCTAATGATGTAGGATATCTGAGTGCGTTTTCCCTCTCTGTTGTCAATTGTTACTTAACTCCTCACATGGATTTATTACCCCAATATGCACGGATTGCATCCGCCATCCTCCTTAGCACTGAGGGGAGTGTGGGTTCAGCGTGGATGCTCGCACTCCTGGTTGAGCGCAGGCCTGGGGCTGGGATCCCTGGTCCCCTGTGTGTGCTCCTAGTGGCAGTACCTGCACGTGGCTGGGACAGACACTGGCAGTGCACAGCCTGGGGACAGGATGGGGAGCCTCAGAAGGGAAATTGGGCCCCACCAGCCACCAGACCAATTTCCACTTGTCTACTCCATGGGCTCCATAAAAGTACTCCTGTGGTGTGGAGGACACCTTTCTTGGTGGCATAGCAGGTAAAGCTGCAGTGTGTCATGTTGCCAACCACTGTGTGGGTGCTGGTTTCTGTCCTGGCTGCCCCACTTCCCATCCAGCTCCCTGCTAATGGCCTGGGAAAAGCAGCAAGAGATGGCTCAAATGTTTGGATTCCTGCTACTCATGTGGAAGACCTGGAAGAAGTTCCTGGCTCCTGAGTTTGACCTGGCTCTGTCCTGGTTATTGCTGCAATTTGAGGAGTGAACCAAACAATAGAATATCTCTCTGTCTTTCCCTCTCTGTAACTCTGACTTTCAAATAATAATAATAACAATTAAAAAGTCTTTCACAATAAAACTAAGTTGAACTAAACAGGAGACTCAAGCTACCATTTGCTATGTTCAGAGCCATAGATTTGGAGTCTTTTCTAGAACTTGCTTTGGCATTTATTAACTGCTTTTTTTTTATTTTTAAGTTTTTTTTATTGTTGGAAAGGCAGTTTTATGGAGAAGGAGAGACAGAGAGATCTTGCATCCACTGATTCACTCTCCAAATAGCCAAAATAGCTGAGCTGATCTGAAACCAGGAACCAGGAGCTTCTTCTGGGTCTCCCATGTGGGTGCAGGGTCCCAAGGCTTTGGGTTGTCCTTGACTGCTTTCCCAGGCCACAATCAGGAAGCTAGATGGGAAGTGGAGCAGCCTGGACATGAGCCTATACTCATATGAGATGCTGGTGCTTGAAGGTAGAGGATTAGTCAGTTGAGCTATCCGGGCCGGCTCCTAGCTGAGTCTCCCATGTTTGATTGTACCAACACTGGCCTTCCTGAGCAGCAGCGAGGATTAAAAGATATCCTGTGTGTGTTGTATAAATTATAGTGATCCAGATAAAGTGTTGTTCGTGTGGTGGCAAATACATTAGCTTAGCATATCCTTCAACAAGGCAGCAGTAGATTGGCTTTGGTTAAGAGGCTTTGCACACTCATTTAAGTGGAGCGGGACTTAGCTAAGGTTGTGTGGATGGAGAGGAGATGAGAAGCCGGGCTGGGCTGTCTGGGTTGCAGCAGGCTGAAGGGAGAGCACTGGGGTGAAGGTGGGGGGAGGTGGTGTGTGTGGGGGGGAGTGTGTGAGTGTGTGTGTATGCGTGTGCATACCTGTACATACCTGGACAATAGGGAAGAAAACAAGGTCCAGGGAACATTCTCTGTTCACACTTCTCTCCTCTCTCCTCCCCCATCTTTTTGCAGGTGCACCTGCGCTCTGCCAGGCGTCTCTGTGAGCTCTGCTGCGCCAACCGGGGCACCTTTATCAAGGTGGGCCAGCACCTGGGGGCTCTGGACTACTTGCTGCCAGAGGAGTACACCAGCACGCTGAAGGTGCTGCACAGCCAGGCCCCGCAGAGCAGCATGCAAGAGGTCCGCCAGGTCATCCGTGAGGACCTGGGCAAGGAGGTACCTGCCTCGGCCGGAGGGAAGGCTAGAGGGGGACTGTGCCAGCTGGGTTCAGGACACTGGGCGTCTATAACCAACGTGGACCCAATCTCACAGCCACTGTCAGGGTTGTAAGGTCCCAGAGGTTTGGAAGGAAAACTGGTGATCTTGAGTAGTGAATGCAGTTGAATCATGTGAAATTCCCATATATATTAAGGTTTATTTGATTTGTGTTTGAACAGAAGAGTTACAGAGAGAGAAGGAGAGACAAAGACTGAGCTTTTGCATCTGTTGGCTCACTCCCCAAGTGGCTGCAGAAGCCAGAGCTGAGCCAATCCGAAGCTGAGAGCTAGGAGATTCCTCTGGGTCACTCACATGGGTGGGAGGGCCCGAGGACTTGGGCCATCTTCCACTGCTTTCCCAGGCCATAAGCAGGAAGCTGGATTGGAAGTGATACAGCTGGGACTCGAACCGGTTCCCATATTGGATATCGGTAGCACAGGTGAAAACAGCCTACTATGCCACCACACCAACCCCTATCTTTAGCTGTTTTTGAACCATAGTGCTGATAATAGCTATCACTTATTGAAGGTTTATTGCCTGTTGACTGCTGTACTGGGTCCCATGTGCTGTCTTATTTAATTCTTAACATTTGTGTGATTAGCCCCCATTTTGTAGATGAAGGGTGGATGCAGGCTAGGGCATTAAGGTCAAGTGTCCATGGGCAGTGTGGGGCTGTTGGTCACCTTGCTGATGCATTGGCTTCTGGACATCCCTGTGGACAGTCACCTAGCCTTCCCCAGTAGGATGGTGCTCATCTTACCTGCTTGTGGCCTGTTCCACTGTCAGTCACCTCTAAGTGTTCCTCTGCAGGTCTGTGAGGATGGAGACCCGATGGTTCTCTTATCCGTCACAGTGAGGTATACAGCAGGTGCTCATGGTTTGTGTAACGAACCACTGAGTGCATACTTGAAGGGGTGTGGTCTTGGGAAAGACCGATGGTTCCATCCTTCCTGATTTGTAGGAAGCTGGCCCTGAGTCTGGATCCTTTCACATTGACCTGGTTCAGGTGCCCAGCCTCCTGCCCAGTGGGGATACTCCCTGCTCAGCGTCAGCCTGGCTTGGAGGAGGCCCCCATAGACCGACTTTCCTGGGGTCAAGATCACACAGGAGGTGACAGGGGGCCCTCTGGGACTCCCTTGCCCCTGAGAAGCATTTTCTCTGATGGAAGTGAGAATGCCTGAAGGATAAGCTGGTTTTGGGCTGGCGCCAGGGAGCAGGCCACAGGCTGGGAGCCCAGTGAGGCTGACGTGCAGGGACCCCAGGCAGGGCGGTCGCGACTGGCTTTGAGAATGGCTTTGCTTCTCGCCAGGGTTGTTGGCCTCTTGCTGTCAACAGCATGAGATCCACCCCTAAATTAAAGCTAAATAAATCACGATAATAACAGTGCAAGGTGCATCACTTGCTGGCATGTGGCAGCACCGTGGAGGTGGGTGCCAGGGAAAGGAGGGGTGCAGGGGCTTCACATGGGGAGGCCTCTGGGGAGCCAGGCAGAGTAAGAGCAGGTGGGCAGCTCCCACCCATGCCTGAGCCTTTAGCCACCTTCCTGGATGTAGTCCTCAGCATGCCGGCCCTTCCATGATCCTCCCATCCCTGTCAAGGTCAAAGTCGGTCAAGGTGCTGGGTGGGGGGGGACTCAGAAAGACACACACACACACACACATATACACACACACACAGAGCCTCTCTCCCAACCATGCCCTCCCCCTTCCCACCTCCTCTCCCCTGGGAGGAGCATTTGTTCCCTGGTGACATACTTTGCTGTGTGGGTGGAGGGAGGGGAGAGGGCTGTGTGGGAAGTGGATAGGTGAGTGCGGGGCTGTGAGGGCGGAGGGAAGGCACTCAGTTGGCCCGGCCCTACGCCTTCAGTCCCCTCCCATGGCTCTCCTGGGGCGTAGCTGTCACCCCCAGGATGATGGTTGAGCTGGGCTGTGTACTGTTGGGCTCTCCGCCACGCAGGGTCCCATTCCTTCTCTGTTGTCGGCCACGGGGTTTATTGCAAGCATGCCCCTTCTCCAGTGCGGGTCCTGGGCGGGATCTGAGGTACTGAGGAGGGTGCCTGAGGGCTCTGCAGCCTCCCACCGCACAGAGGGCTCCTTCTGGCCCCAGCTGGCTGTTTCTGGATCCCTCTCATGGCCCCTTTCCCTACATAGAGGCCGTGGACAATCGCTGCCATCCTCAGCCTAGGCAGGCCCCGAACCATGTCCCTTGCCCCGGGGTGGGGATGAGACGGAAGCTGCAGTGCTCCTGGACCTCACCACTGACCTTTGGTTCTGCATCAGTGCCAACCCCTGGGCGACAGCTGGCCCTATCTGTGTGGAGGTGAGAGCTGGGAGGGGCACCAGCGTTGCCGAGGCAGTGGGCTGCAGTCCCCCAGTGAAGGGAGGGGCGGCAACGGCAGCAACGTGAGCCTGACCGCAGACCAGCCGCTGTTTCCAAACCAGCCGCTGTTTCCTGTGCACCAGGGCTTCTGTTTAGCTGAAGTCCATGTGCAAAGCAGGTGTGTGTGTGTGTGTGTGTGTGTGTGTGTGTGTGTGTGTGTGTGTGTGTGTGTGTGTGTGTGTGTGTGTGTGTGTGCGTGCGCACGCAACTCAGATACTCCTCCACCCAGCATGATCAGGAAGACATGTATTTTTTATTTTGAATGCTAGGCTATGTCCCGAAGGTCCAGCTCTGAGGAGCAGACAGGAGCCCATGTTCCAAAAGAGAAGGTCATTCTTTGGCGTCAGGAGTGCCCCCCCAATCCACACTGTATAAACTGCCTTAGGGATGGTCATAGGGGTGGTGCCAGAGGGGTGGTCGGTTCAGGTGCACCGCAGACCTTAGCCAGTAGGTGGCGCCTGAGCTCGCAAGTCTGGGAGGGGCATGAGATTTAGGCTTGGTTAATGTCATGCAAGGTTCCCAGGCTGATGTCTCTATATCCCAAATGGAGCAGGCTCTGGCCTAACCCAGGAGGCGGTTGACCACCGGTTGTTCATGATAGCTCCCTACAGTTCCAGTGCCTTCCTCATCTAGGTCATGTGTCCTTAAGGTACCCTGCAGGCTCTGTGGCTCAATGCTTTGCCTGGTATTCAGTGAAAAAGTCAGAATACTGGGCCCTGAGGGCCAACAAGGATGGCTACAACCTCATTTTGGGTTCCATGGTCTGGGGTCATCATCAGGGCTATTCCTGGCTATGTGAGTGGCCCACGGGTTTCCAGGAGAGAAAGGCATTCTGTCTGGGCAGGTGGAGGTGATCTGAAGCCGGTGGCATCTGCACAGGCGCTCAGAGGTGGAGGTCGGGGGAGGCATTGACCACTGTAGCGAGACGGGTTCCGCCAAGGTGCAGGGCTGGTTGAGCTGGAAGTCAGGAGAGCGCGCAGTGAAGTTTGTTCCCTGCAAAGTGGCTTTCAGGGAGGCGCGTGATGGAGCCGGGGTTGTACCACTGGGACCGGGGCCACATCTGGAAGGACCTGCCATGTTCTTCCCAGGAAGTGAGTCTAAGGGAGGAGAGGACTCAGAAAGGGTTCCAGGCAGAGGAAGGCTGAGTAGGGGCAGATGTCGCTGGTGGGCAGGCAGGGCACTGTGGCCTCGCCCAGCAGCCTTAGTTTCCCTATAATGCAGGAGGTGCAGGTGGGGATGGCTGAGCAAAGTGGGAAGATTGGGGAAGGCTTAATGGTGGGACTTAGGATGTGACAGGATTGTCACCTGCCCTGGGATAGTTTCCTGTGGTGATGCCTGGGGCGGTGGCGATGCCTGAGTAGGCAATGCCTGGGGTGGTGGCGATGCCCAAGTAGGGGATGCTTGTTTTTGTATAAATTTTTTAATTGATGCATTCTGTGTAACTCTTTTGAAGACCTCTCGCCCCTGTATGTGTTTGTGTGGATTGTGTATGAGTGTGCACGTACACCCGTCTCCCTGTCCCCACAGGGACCACACGTTGGTACCTCATTCTGCTCTCACAGGGCGCTCCAGCTTCATGCTGAGCTGTGGGGATGCGTGGGAGCCAAGCTGCCTGTTGGTTTCTTTGCTTTGTGACCTTGGGCTGTTGGCTTTTCTTTTGCCCTTGGTTTCCTCACCTGTAAATGGGGCAGTGACGGAACCTGTGCTGCATAGACTTGCTGTGGGATGTAGTGAGTGTGAAGCGGGCCGAGTCTTTGCACTTCAGTAGTTAGTTCTGAATTAAGCTGGATGCTTTGGATGTGCTGAGAGCCTGGGGAATGGGTCTGTCCCCTGGTTTCCTGGTGCCTGACCCCTCCCTTCTTGTCCCCCTGCCCAGCAGTGCCCAGTTTGCTCTTCCTTCCCACTGCTGCTGCCCACAGTGCACCCAGCACCTGGGCCGTGCCTCAGGGGCTGCTGGTGACCCTGGGCTGGCTGCTGCGATTTCCTGAGGTTTTTGGCAGCACCTCCTGTGGGCCAGTGACTGACTTTTGTTCTCAAGCCTCCCCTTGGGTCCCCCTGCCCCACCCCAGAGTGGAGAGATGGAGGTTGAGCTCTGGCTGCTATTGAGGAGGGACCATGGCTACCCAAGATCAAGCAGATGGTGTTGTCCTATCCTGGGAGACCCTGGTACTGTGCTCAGCTCTGTTGCCAGAGTCCTCATGGAATCAGGTGGGTTGCATGGGGGTGAACATGCACTGGGGGGTTACGGTCAGGGAGGTGGATGGGACCAACAAGGCCAGGGGCACCCTTCTGTTTGAGGGTGTTTGTACCTGCCGGCCTGCAGCTGGCAGAAGGCTTCCTCCTTGCACTGGCCATGGCCTCCTGCTTTCCTGGTCTTGCTGCCTTCTTCAGGTGCTGATCTAACTTCTCCACCCTTTCATCTCACGTGCACCTGCTCCGTGCCGGGTTCGGTGCCCATCCCTGTTGCTCCCATTTTCCTCTTCTGGCAGAGCCAGACCAAGGTCAGTAAGCCCTCTGCTACCCTGAGGCCACTTGAGTGGGCTGCAGCCACCTTAAGAGTGTGACCTGGCTGTGGAATT